TGTGTGTGTGTGTGTATGTGTGTGTATGTATGTGTGTGTATGTATGCCTGTGTGTGCGTGCGTGCGTGTGTGTGTGTGTGTGTGTGTGTGTGTGTGTGCGTGTTTCTTATGTAAGCTGAAAGACGCGAAAATTATTGAAATAGCTATTACTCGAAGGGTTCAGGGGATCTCGTAGTCGAGTAGTCTCGACTAGAGCTTTCTTACTTGTTCTTTTTGTTTATCTTATATGTTTCGACAATACGATTTATATCCCATATCCGTATACGAATCAAATCGTTGCCTCACGTCACATCACGTCACGTCACGTTGCGTCGCGTCTCGTCAATCTTGGCCGTTATTTATTTTTACTTGTCGGCGCACAGTTTATATTGCATACTTCATAGGTGGTCGTCGCTCGATCTCGGCTGATCGATAGATATGTACCATTCAATATATGTGTATACAATATCATCGACATGGAATGAATCATTTTCACCTACGGCCAGGGGCCAAATTGACTGAATTATGTTTTTTTCGAGCGCATAAATATGAATTTATGAGATCGTGAAACGAAAACTATTTGTATCTTTTATAGTTCTACACACACACAAACACACACAACGTCAATCAGCCGTGTTCAGTTTATGAACCAAATATGCAATGCGAAATGCGGCCAAATGTTGAAAAACAATTTGTAACTGGAAAACGATAAAAGTTGTGAAGTTTTGTGAAGAGAATTTAGAGTGGGAAAATTTGCTTCATCTTATCAGATTTGCCTTTCAGGTGAAAGTTTTAGTAGTTTGCAGGCTTGTTTCTTACAGGTTTTCAGTCCCTGATAGGGATGTGTGCTGGAGCTGATCTGAACCGTGTGCTGCTGCTGTTGTTGTTGCTGCTGCTGCTGCTGCTGCTGTGGGGCAAGCGAGGTCTGGCCGGCGACTGTTCCGGGCGGATTGAGACGCGATCGATGCTGATGCGGCGATGCAGGATGCATGATGATGCTGCTGCTGCTGCTGCTCCTCGGCTAAAGATCTGTATCGTTAAAATGGCGCACGATGAGCACTGCACGCGTCTAGCGCACGTTTCCAATTGAGCAGCGGGCCGCAAGTCTCAAGCGTCGAAGCAGTTGTTCGGCTCATTTCACACGTTGCTGTTTACGGCGCCTCCGCTCCGTGCCGTGGCGTGCCGTGCCGTTCAACCATCCGGCCAAAGCATCTCTCTGTATACACGCACACACACACACACGTGAATGTTGTTTGTATTTCTTGCTGTATTTTTTTTTTTAAATATATATTTTTTTTCTCTGTTTGTTGTTTAGATTATTAGAAACGAACGAACTACAAAAGTCTATATGGAGAATATGGAGATAATTTATAAACCACTTCAGCTAACAAAATGTTGAGGCGGCTATGCCCGTTGTTAGGCATTTGTCTTAATCAAGCAGGGAGCAGCCGCTCTGGTGATCTATTAGCGACAAAAGGTCAAACGGTTTACAACATTTCACACGCAAATGTGTCGCACGCAAGGCGAAGCGACGCGGGCTCCCTCTCCCATTTCGATCCAATTTATGATCCTGGGAGATGTTGATTTATATTTATTATATGAAAGATCAAAAAGATCTCTGTGGAATAATATATGAGGCAAATAAAATTATTCATAAATTTTTATAGAAAATAAAATAAATTAAAAATTCGAAAATTGAAAGAAATAGCTGAACAGGATTCAGTCTGCCAATGCTTGTCGCTCTCTTTCTCTGCCTCTCCTTCCCTCTCTCTCTCAAGCTAGTTCACAAAGTGAAGAGTTTGTTAAGTTTGGGTTATGTACCTTTCGCCTAGCTAGTTAGCCTTTAAATAATTCCCCAAGGGGCGTGGCAATATACATTTGGGGCATATACATTTGGGGCTAAAAATATTTGGTTTTTCAGTTGAATTACTCTTGCCTTCCCCTTTAGTATACTGACTATCAGTAGCGCCTTTCTCTGTAATTCTCATTGCATTTGTCAGCTTTAGCAGCTGCATCAATTTGATATCACACTTGCTTGAATTTGTGGGAATCACATAGAGAGGCGCTGCTGTCTGAGAGAGGGGTAAAATAAATATTCCAATAAATGAAACTTGAAATAAATGATTCGAGATAAATGATAATCATTTGGTTTAATAGTAACATATAATTGATATATCTATAACAAATTGCAATTGGTTTTGTTTTTTGTCGACTTCTAATAGCCAATAAGTAATATCTGATATAGGCAATAGCTCGTTTGAAGATTATATTTTTCGTGTTTTGGCACAGTGCGTGTTATTTTCGCAGAACAAAATCGTTTTGCCAATGCATTTCACATTTGTTGTATACAATTTGTGTTGTTGTTGTTATTGTTGTTGGACTCTCGATGCGTGTTACGCATGTTTCATGCTGCCCGAAGGCAAATTGACTCAAGGTTCTACTTTATTATTATTGGTTACACTGCATTTGCTTTATTGTAATAGTTTCGTTTATAACAAATTATTATGCAATAAATGCGCGCTTTGTTTTTGTTTTCTTTCCATAATGTTCTCTTTATACAGCTGGCTAAATCCAATTCTGTTTTGTTTTTATATTTGTTTTTAATGGTTCGTAGATCAATTACTTTGCCAGATCTGAAAGTCTATAAGATATTGTTACCGAACAGATACAGATAGATGTGTGTATATATGATACAGCATTATTGAGAGCTGTAAGGCACATTTTGGTTATATATAATATACATATACATATATGTATATATAAATGGTTTACAATAAGATTTGTATAGTATAATTTATGATTGATTGCTAATTGCGCCTTAAGTATTGAAATATTCCTTCTACAACTTTGTTGCATAGTTTAAAGGTAGTATAAATGTATAACTATATACGGAGACATACATTCATATATCTATATATATATATTTATAATTGTATATAGATTGATATTAGAAAATGCAGAAATTAAATGTGAAGCTATTAATCAAATGCTGGCAATATTTTCATTCAATGAGTTTTTAACGTTTTAATTTTTGTTTTGCTTTGCGCTACGCTTGAATCTTATCAACATATTCGATTTGGCCGCTGGGTATATACTATATATGTGTATATATATTCTTGGAAATTACTCTTGCACACACACACACACGCATACACGCACAAACAACAGCTATACAAATATTCTCAATGTTTTAATTGACTGAGCAATGTGTGTGGGTGTGTGTGTGTGTGTATGTGTGTATATTTAGTCTGTGCCGCTGCCCCGTTATGACATGCGCCGCGTATCAATCGCTCCCTCTCTCACTCTCGCCCACAGTGTGGCTCTCGCTCATTGCTTCTGTTTTTGCATTCCATGCAGAAATCAAATAATAAGAATAATAATGATAATAATAATAATAATATCTTAACAATTAATAATCTTTCCAATTATTTGCTGTGCTTTATCAAATTCGTTTGCGCTACGGCAGCCGCGTGGCACCTCCAGCACCTCCACCGCCGTCACTTGCAGCCAGCTCCTGCTGCTGATGCTGATGCTGCTGATGGCGCCTTCGTCAATCGTTGTACATGCCATCGACCAGGAAGTCCATGCGTCTGTAGTGACGCGTTGTCCATAGATCACGGAAGCGCCTGTAGCCCACAATGAATACGGCTATGGCCAGCGGCACAGCCAGCATGACGGTTACGATGGGCACGATGTATTCGTTCTCGCCACGATTCACCAGGCTGCTGCTCATCTGCTGCACGGGCAAGACATGCGGTGCAACGCTGCCACCGTTGAGAGCACTCATATCCAATTTCTCACCCTCAATTTGTTTCGCCATGCTGCTGGTGACGGTTGGCTTTTTGGGACGAGCTGTGGTTGTGGTTGTGGTTGTGGTACTTGGAGTAGTTGTGGTCGTTGTCGTGGATGTGGTTGTTGTTGTGGTTGTAGTAGTAGTTGTTGATGAAGTAGAAGTTGTTGATGTTGGCGTAGCGGCGATGCTGCTGCTGTTGCTGCTGCTGCTGCTACTATTTGTGGCTGTGCCATTGATAACAGCTGCTGTTGTTGTATTGATAGTTACGGTGGTGCCGCTGCTGCTGCTGCTGCTGCTATTATTATTATTATTACTATTGTTCTTGCTGTCATTGCCATTGCCATTGACGTTGCCGTTGCCGTTGTTGTTCTTGATGTCACTCAGCGATACGCCATCGGCCACTATTTTGTCCGTCTTGGTCGTTGATTTGGATTGTTTTGTTATCGGCGTTATTGTTGTTGTTGTCGTATTCGATGCTTTAGRTAATTGCGGCTCTGGTGTGGACGCTGGTAGCTTCACCACAGTAGCGCTGTCCGTATAGGTAACGCCACGCGCTAGCACCGGAGATTGATCCGCCGTGGCGTTGACCTTGACCGGTTTGTTCACTGGCAATGGATGGGCTATATCTGTCAAGATTTATGACATACAAATTGTATGTATGTATATTAATAATGTATAAATTGTATATCTGAGAACGCGAATACACATACCTGATGATGATGCGTTAGCACTTTTAGCTTCGTTCAAAGTTGTTGCATTACTGGTGCTGTTGTTTGGCCCAACCATGGATAGTTTGGTTGCATTGGAAATAGCTGGAGTTCCAATTGCTATTTGATCCGCTTGGGCCAGCGGTACGGCTGTTAGCTGCTGCATTAGCAGGAGCAAAAGCACCGGAAGCACGTTCATTTTTCACTTTGATGCAGCCGTGTGAAATGTGCTGCAGTTGCTAAATTTGGCAGCGGATTGCCTTTTGCTTTTATTTGGAATATCTTGGAGCTCAATAGCGATGCACAACAGTTCGATTACTGGTATCGATATGAATGAATGTGACAAGTGTATTTGCGAAATATACGATAGGAATATCAAGTCCCATCCCTCGCTTGCCAACCCAACTTGTGTATTCAGAAATAATATAAGATGTCATTTAGAATTTATAACTAGCTGAAATATAATACTATGTCATAGTTTTAACGCCATTTATTTATTTTTCGTATACAATTAAAGTCACAAATAATATATAAAACGAGCATCGCACTCATGCAGTTAGCTGCTCACTTACAAAAGCTGTTTTCTTTTTCACTGCCCAAGTAAAAATCGTACACCAAACATTATCGATGTGTGTGCTTTGTTCTATCGATAGGAAAACGTTAATTTAAATAATTTACTTGATGGCAAATTAAAAAAAAAAAAAAAACAATTTAAGTCAATATTAATATGTATGTATATTTATAACGTACTCTGTATAATTTCTATAATTATTTTGTATTTTACGGTTTATCTCTTTTGAATTGTGTGTGTTTTTTTTTTGTTGCTAATTTTATATATTTCTGTTCTAACTGATTCTTTTTGTATGCATTTTGCCTATGACTAGCTTTAGTTAGTTAATTCAATTACAGAACAGCATAAAATGTAACTTGTTTTGTTTTTGTTTTTTGTTTGACTTTGTACGCTAAACAACATTATTGCACATATTAGGATTAGAGCATAGCGAGAAGCTATGCGTTAAAAGAAAGCAGTTGAATGATCTCGGGCAGCTCCTGCCGATCCACCTCACAGTGGATTGAATGATGTCAAGTGATATGTACGCCTCTTACTAATTGCTTGGGAAATGGTATATGCAGCAGCTCCGAATTTTAGCTATTATAGCTCAGGCTTAAAATAATAAAGCAGCTCGTTGCTGTTGCTGTATGCTAGTTGGTGTTGTTGTTGCTGCCGATGTTCGGGTTGTGAGTGCTGCGGCCGTTGGTGACTTTAATTCCTCCACAATGATGACGCCGTGCTCATCAACCATGTGATTCAATAGCAAATTCTCAACCTGCTCATCGGATAGTAATTCTTTGGGTTCTGAGGATCTGTAAAGTAGTTGTTGTTGTAATTGTGTAACACCAAAAACAGAGATAGCCAAAGACAACAGATTAAAGTAGGCGCAAATGTGATGGAAAGAGACAAGAGAGTGTGTGAGAGAGAGAGAGATAGCGAGAAAGATGTACAGATAGAGACAGAAGCTTGGCAAAGTTTTAAGCAGAATGGATGCATGAAAATTTATGCTTAATGAAATCTAATGAATCGAATCGAAAAAAAGGAAATATTACAAATCAGCAACTAGTTCACATCGATAAGTGCATTTGGTTTCTTGAAATAACTTTATGCTCATTCACTTCGGTTGAACATGAAAATAATGAATACTAAAAAAATTCAGTTGAATAGATTGAAATTGAAAAGTAAAGTATTTAATATCACAAATGATATATATAATA